GACTTGTGCCGTCCGTTTCATTCTTGTGCGATAGATCCCCCTTTACATGATGCGTAGCATTCACGTTTTTGCTAGCGAGGAAGATGGAGGCATAGGTTTAGTCCACGACCCAAATTTTGACCGATCGGTCCGACCCGATCATAAAATCCCTTCATCAACCACTTTGAGCCATGTGTCTAAGGGTCGTTCTCGTGTTAGGTAGCTCATGCTACTTGAGCTTGATTGATTTAGATAGAACGACCCTACTTTCTTCGTGTCTACACTGTTATCGAGTCACCCTTGTGTTTGGAAGCTCCTTTCACACCGTTTGAGCGTAAATGAGGTTCCACATGAGTGATTTGTGTATGGTTTTGCTAAGACTGAAAAAATGAGTGCTGGAGGTAGTGTTTCAAAGCGAGCATTGTTCCTTAAGTTAAAAAATGTGGCATATGTATATTGCTCTCTATATCCCTCAAAGAAAAAATTTTAATAAAAGGGCAGAAATATAATAAATATTGAACATGCTCTTAGAAGTGTTTCTTGGCATGCAAGCTATAGAGACACTTTCACATTGTTCTCCTCCTATAATCTTGTGCTTGAAAGTGTATAGCAAATGTGGCAAGAAAGTATGTGTCACATGGTTTGGTGATTAATTGTAGTTTGGAATTGAGGAAAGTGTGGTTTTTGGCCGATGCTAGTGGCCATTGAGTATAGGAGAGGGTTCTAATTGAAACCTTAGAACCTTTTGTGCTTTAGGATAGAAATGTGGAACCTTATGCTATGTTTGCCACCACCCAAAAAGCATTTTCCCCATGTCCTAGACACTAGCCAGTCATTTGAACCTGTGACTAAGACCTCTGGAAAAGCTAGCAATGACACCCATCTTGTGAACTCTAACATTTAGAGGTTACCGTCATGGTAAAGGGACGTTAGGATTGAGCGTGAATATGCACATCTTTTGCATCAAATGGTCCTGACCCTACTGGTCGAGAGTGAGTGATTCATTCATCATGTTTTATTCATTTATTATACCCCAGTGAGGACCTAGGTTGCTCGATCGTTCGTTCCTATGATGTGATCTTCATGCATGAGTAACTGTGACTGGTGAGTCGTCGAGGCATGTTGTGTGTTGGTTCGTGAATAATGTGAGAACTCTTCATTTGCACAATCTTAATACAATTGAATGTCGGTTGTGGTAGTTGCCAAGATTATGTTGTTTTTGTCCATAGGTAGGTGTCAAATAACCATTGTGGTTCATTCGTTTTGTGCCCTATCACATGCCCCAAAAACTATGTTGAAAAAGAAGTTGTAAGCTTACCTTGTTTTATACTTGGTTTGCTTGGGGACAAGCAAACGTTCAAGTGTGGAGGAGTGTTCGGGTCCAATTGTACACTTTTTACCCCTCATATCCTAATAATTTGGCTTTGCATTTCATCGTCCCTCAACATATTTCACTCTAGGTTGTGCTTGTTTTGATACATTCCAGATCCTAGTACATGTGGGGAGGTCGAGGACGATTTTCGGGTCGATTGGCGGTCAAAAAGTGCCAAAAAGTGAAAAAAAACGTCCAAATTCTCGTAATAGTGAAGCGCAGGCGTCCATGAAGGAGCCGCAGTTCACGGTTTAGCATTGGAGTTCACGGTCTCCCAAGACCGTGTACTGGAACCTTAAACTGTGAACAGCGAGGCGTCCAGCGAGGTTACAGAGGTTACTGACGACCAGGCAGTTCACGGTCTCTAAGACCGTGAAACCTGGAGAGTGAAGCGGTGTGTTTTGGAGACGACGTTGAGTTCTCGGACGCGTTAAGGTGTTCACGGCCGTGAACTGGGCTCGACCTGGGTATAACAACAGCAGCAGAAGGAAGAAGAAGGGGGAGCTGGTTTTTGGAGAAGGAACACTTTCTTTCTCTAGGGTTTCAACCCAAAACACCAAAGGGGAGTTCTAGTGAGAGAGAGAGAGAGTGATCTTGGAGGTTAATTGAAGGCATTGATCAAGTTTGGAAGCTAGGAATCAAGTATAGAAGATGAAGATCTAGATATTTCTTTGTAATCTCTCCTCTCTCTCTCTCTCTCTCTCTCTCTCTAGAAACTTACCCTCTTCTCTTGGGTTTAAGAACCCTAGGTCTAGATTTGGGTTTAATGTTGATGTATGTGACAAACTCCATGATTGATTGATGATTTTACTTAATTGATGGATGTTTTCATGAATGGCATGAGTTGGGTTTCCATTTTCATGTATTGAGCTTTTGACCAAAGAGGGAGATAATCCCCTTAGAGCCCCCTTTTAGCGTTTTCGGGTCACTCCTATCGTATATTGTCCGTGTAGTCCCAGAGGGAGTTGATTCGACCGATCTCCTAGCATTATATGAAACCCTAGGTTGAATAGAGCACTACCCATCCATCGATTCGCCGTTCCGGGTCATTCCCGTGGGAGTCCATCTCCAAACGGTAGTGTAGTTGAGTCGATCGAGCTAGGAGGATACCCAACATCGATCCATAGAACGGACCTAGGACGATTCAATCCAAGAGAGCTCCCAACCTTGTAAATAACTAGGTTAGTTAGTTTAATTCTTCTAATCACCATTCTAGGTTGGATAGATAACGAAACCTAAATCTGAAGTAGGGTAAGCCTAAATCCCTGTGGTACGATAAATTCTTTTTGTTTTCTTGCCATTTCCCACATACCTATCAATCGCACCTGGGAACAAATATCAAGCAAATCCAAATTGAAATGGCTAAATATATGGGGAAATGGTGCAGGAAAAATGTCATAAATGAGGTAATAAAAACTTATATTTTACGTGTCATTAAAGCGATAACCAATGAAAGTTAACAATTTCAAGAAACAACGTTAATAATGAAAAAAATATTCGATAAAGCATGAACTATATTAATCAACTAATGGAATGTTATTAATTTCATCAAGCAACGTAATAATGAAAAATAATTGTTAATATTGAAACAGGTCATGGTAACAATATTTGATAATAGTACTCAAAACGTTACAAATCTTTTTACGAGGTTAAAACCAAGAATAATAATTATCAAAATTTGAAACATAATAGTTTCCACGTGCATTAATAATTTCAATTATCATTTAATATGAAGGTTGTCAAACCAATTTAAATCATTGAGTCGGTCAAGTAAGTGATTTGATATTGAATGATCTTATTACGGTCCAACCTGTTTGAACTGTTTTATACATTTTCTAAATACATATAATGATATACAAATAAGGTATTAATTTCAAATTTTAATACCTAAAATGAAATTTAAATTTATTTATATCCATTACCATTATGAACTCTATCTTTCATAAAAAAAATATTTAATCCTCGTAACCCACCCAGCATCACCCTGCCCTCTCTCCCCCTCCCTGACTTTCCGGGCTAAGATCAGGTGACTAAAGGGGTCCCTTAGTCACATTACTAAGTCAATCTCAGCCATTGAGATTCATTAAAATCTGATGGTTCAAATTAATCTACTTTAATGAGGGGTAAGTTGGTAATTACATAGTTTATTTATTTAAAATTTGAAATAAAAAAATAATCAACCGCCCAGCTACCTCTTGCCCGCCGATCCGCGTTTCGCTCCCTCCCGCCCGCCGTCCGTTTCTGTTTCCCGGCGGCGGCGGTATTTTTCCCCCCAAACCCCCAGAGAGAGAGAGAGAGAGAGAGAGAGAGAGAGAGAGAGAGAGATTTTTTCTACTGACCGAATGAGACTTTCCGGCGACAGTGCTAGATTTGTGATGTATGGTGACCTATTTTTGTAATGTTTATCATTCTTATTTGTCATTTTTAGCGACATTTTGTACGGTTAGTATTCTTTGTACTGTTTGTCGGTTTATTTTGTAATGTTTGTCGGTTTTCTTTTGTAATGTTTGTAAACTTTGTTATTTTTGTGCATCATGTTTATCATTTTTGTCAACCATGTTTTTTATGTCTAAAAAACAACCTGGTTGACTTTTGGATGAAACTCCTCTATATGGGGATGGAGCCTTCAAAGTCAACCCGGGTATTTTTTCCAATTTGTATGGATTGTCGGTCTAGTTTGTCATTTTTTTCCACCATATTCGTAATGTTTGTATGTCTAAAAAACAACCGGATTGACTTTGAGACGGAGCCCTCTATATAGGGATGGAGCCCTCTATGTCTAAAAAACAACCGGGTGTTTTTTCTTTTTTGCATGGTTTGTATTGTTTGTACAGTTCATACGTCTGTAATGTTTGTAAATCTGTTTGTATGTTTTGTCGTTGTAGTTTGTACTGTTTGTATGTTTGTATGGTTTGTACTGATTGTAAGTCCGATTTGTATACGTCGTAATTTTCCATAATACCCAAACTATCCATGTCATTAATTAAATAGTGCTTCTCACTTTTTAACCGTTAGATTGATGTGTTCAGATCTAAGAATTAAGAGGGGCTTAACCAAGTGACTAACCACTCCGCACTTCTCGCTTTCCCTCTCTCTTCTTCTTCCTCTCCCACTCTCCTCCGCCTCTTCCCCTCGCTCTCGGGTGGTTTCACTGAATTTTTTAAGACCATTTCGGACTTGGTCCATTTCTTGTTATAAGTTTCTATTTTAAAAAATTTAGAATATTGTATTTGCCATTTTATATTCCCCCGATTAATCTAGTGACTACTATTAGTTTAAGGGAACTCCTTTAAGAACCTTCTTTAAAGACGTGTTTTATTTCAGAGAAGTACTTTTAAGGGTCCATTCCTTTAAGAATCCTCTTTAAAGACCTGTTTTATCCGAACAGTAAACTAAAGCAGAAAACTGTAATTGTGGGTACAATAGCTCGCACTTCAATGAGCTATCACTCACTTATCAGTTATCACCCAACTAGTTCACAAGGTTTTGCCGCCCAAAACTGAATCCAATAATAGCTAGCTACCAAACAATTGCTGTTATAAAACACACGGTGTACATATGCCCAGTATTGCTCTGTCCCTCTTAAGTTACATAGCAGAGAAGCCAAAGAATCAGAGGTTCAGAAGCACCTTCCTGAACTATAAAACGTTCACGAATACAGGAGCCGCCTCTTGTTTCCTCTCAGCTTGTTCTGCAGGCTCCCATGACCAAGTATAAATGACCTTTGACATAAAGCAACTGACTCTGTAACTCAACTCTCAACATCCATCTTCACCCTCCGCCGAGGTCCTGGACCCTGCCTTCCCCGGTTACTGTAACGGGGTTCTGAAAAGGCTGCTCTTCTGGCATCTATCTTGCCTTCTTTATCAATGGGCCGCCTTCTCCAAAGCTGTTCTCACTTGGGAGAGTTTGACCTATTATAATTTGTCTTGTCTACCTCAAATGACAATGGTTCTATCCCCTGAAGATCAGGCTCTGGAGCATAACCAACAGGCCATTTCTTTACATCCATCTTTCTGAACGTGATGGATATTCCGGAGACCAAAAAAAAAAAAAAAACACATGCAGGATCAGGCAGATGAGATAAACACCATAGTGTGTTTTAAACGAAACACACTATGGCCTGTTGGTTAAAGATTAAGTTTAACCAAATGAGTTTTAGAGGGTACCTCTTTGTGGGGACTGAAGGTACGCAGTGTTTAGCTACATCAGCTCCATTTCCATTCAATACAAGAACAGACCTGAAAGGTAATCAATATGTCATAATGAAATGAAATGAAACGAAAGGGGCAAACAACAAAACAATATGGGAAATGAATTTCAAGAAAAGAAATTGTTTAGTCGGACTTACCCTACAGGCAAAGGAATCGCTACTGATCCGGAGAACTCACCAGGACCTACAATCTCTAATTTGGTTCCGAACACAATATTGCACTCACTAACAAAAGATACGGTGCAAAATGGTCGGAGAAAATCGTGGTTGTCAATGTGGGGTGGTATGCAGTCCCCTTCTTCGTAAATGTTGACAATACAACTGTCTGGCACACACGTTGGAGGCAGAACATGCCATTTCACCAATCTTCTGATTATAACTTTTAAAAGTTGAGGTATCGGATCAACCATTTCATTCTTCAGAATGCCAGGTGGATTACCAGTTCTATCCTGCATGCCAAATGTTCAACTTCAAAACTCTTGTACGAGCATAAATAAACATTTGCATCATGAAGGGTAATGGATCAAGACAACTTACTGTCGCATAGTTATAGCAGCAGCCAAACTGTAGAGTTACACGCCCTTTGCCCCTCATCCACTTCTGAGGAGCAGAAAATGTGCGCTCTGAACAATGAATTAGACTGCTTAAATTAGTTAATTGAAATACATTAATACCAGTTAGCTGAAAACCAACCACCAAAGGATCTTTGACGAGGAAGAACTGTTCACATAGAAACCATAGGCAGTATACAACATGTTTTTATTTATAATTATGATAATAATAATAATAATAATAATAATAAGAATAATAATTAATCGTTATTTACCAGTACTCGAAGCTGCGGTTGCGGCAGGCAGACTCATTATCAGTTGATTCTTGCGTTCGATTACTGTACTTTCTTCTTCCTCACGCAATAATTATAGTTATAAACTAAATAGGGATAATTACTACATTTCGTGTTTATTAAGTGATTCGGTAGGATTAGGTCATTATTAGGGGTTTTCAGTTATTTCCCTACATATGTAGGCTGTTATATACCTTTCAGATTAATAAGAAATATTACAGAAAAGTACCTCTAAACACTATTCTCCTCAAATCCTCTGAAATCTCGTCTCTCCCTAAAGGTCGCCGGACATTCTTCCCAAATTTGTCTCAAACCCTAATCCCAATTTTGATCTTCCTATTCTAAATCCCTAAATATCTCCCAATTCTCTTCTAGTCGATACCGGCAAGAAAATCTGCAGGTGCCCAATAACTGTAGTTCTGAAAGTGGTATCAGCGTATGGTTGCAGGCACCCACATGAAAACTATGTCAAGTTCCCAGCAAATCCCACGAGAAACACTATTCTCAATAAGATGCAGCAGGTGTTCTATGCCTTTAATGCCAAACAATAGGCAAGCCACGAACGATTGCAGGCAAGGCTTCAAGCTGTCCGTGATAAATTGCATGGTGACATCGTCACCCAAAGGCAACTCTCGAACATCACATGCGGAATTCCAGGTTGACCTTGATAATCTAAATGCGAGCTGCAAGCGCCGCTCCACCAATGTCATTGCTTCTGTCTCTGAAGAAGAAGCTCCTGCTGCCGCTGCACCAATATTATTAGGGTTTCGATTATTTCCCTTTATAACCCTATATATATTGGTTGTTATACCCTTCAGAATATTACAGAAAAGTATCCTTAAACCCTATTATCCTTCAATCCTCTGAAATCTCGCCTCTCCTTGAAGGTCATCGGCCATTCTTTCCAATTCTTCCCCAATTCTGTTTCAGATCCCTAACTACCGATTATGTTCTTCCTATTTTAATCCTGTAAAACTCTCTCAATTCTCTTTTAGTCGATCCGGGTAAAATAATCGCCGGGTGCCCAATAACCGTAGTTCTTACAACATAACATGAAACAAATATAATTAGATAGAAAGGTTTATGGCAACTGCAGAGGTGATTAACAAAAGAGCGCTCCAATAAAACGTGAATACACACAAGTAACTGATACCCAAAGCACTGTTAATTATCTGACTGCACAGTTAGATAGCAAGCCTCTACTGCAGCACAACCTAAGTCCAGTGCTAGATCAATGTCTATCCCTCCTAAAGCATCTATGATTGGCAAAATGTAAATGAACAAAGGTTTGACTTCCCTCTCTCAGCCACCAATTAAGTTCAGTGACGTGGAATATGATATAGATCGCACGAAGATTATAACAAAGAAAGCAATCACACGGAACAGTTGAGGGAAAGGGAGGAAAAAGAGATGGTTTAAAGCTTTTCCATAACAGTTGCTAAGAACTCAGAAACAGCATAGACACGCGTAGAATTGAGTGACATCTCACCTAAAGAACGAACTAAAGGACCAAAGACAGTAATGGAGCAATAGGATACATACCTTTCAACTCTCCTTTCATGCCCATTTCCTTCAGTTCAAAAACACGATCGATTATCCTCTTCTGCTCTGCGGCACTGAAAACACCTGTGTGTAGTTCAAGTCCGTCGAGAATATTCATCAACTTGCCATGAACCCTCTCGAAGCACATAAAATCTTTCTTCCTCTTCACATTCATGAATCGAATGTACTCTCTCTGCTCCCTCGGTAACTGAGGCTTCTCCACCGCTTTCGTAATCAGGGGAGAACCACCTAGACCAGCTGCTTCTTTACTTGAATCAAGTTGTTCCTCATCATCCACAAATTCTTCTTCTTGCGCCATGTCCGCCCAAGAAATACGAGGCCCTGAGGTATTATTATCAGCTCCTGGCGGCTTACCAAGCAATCCCCTAATAGCAGAATCTTCCGGGATCGAATCAGACCATCCATTAGCTCCATCTTTCCAACTTCCTAACGAATTCTGATCAAATTTCTCGTCCTCGTGATCTTCTACGCAATTCTCACAAGATTTGGCAGCACTCGCAATTGAAGAAACTGCGGTTTTCTCCAAACGTAATTGCTCCCATGAACTATCACGTTCTGGTAAACGAACAAATGAAAGTCCCAATTAATCCGAGAATACTTAAACGGAAAGCCCTAGTTTTCAATACGTAGGTTGCAATCCTATATTGGTTCGAAGTACCTGGCTGGAGAGAGCGAATTCGATCTGATATAGTTCTGGAGCAGTTGTGGCATAGACCTCGAGAAAGAAAAGGGAGCCACTCGTTGAAGAATTTTCCCACGCGATTCGAAGTTCCGACGGTTGGTACTGCAGGAGGAAAGGATCGTCCTTTTGATCTTCGTTCCTATCAGCCATGGCGGAAATCAGGCGAAAGCGAGAGAGGGAACCGCCGGGAAGTACAAAGAAAGAAGGAAACTTGGTAACACAAATGGGCAGACAAATTCAGGAGTGGGTGGACAAGAGAATTCAGACTTCTGGGTTGTTTAACCTGGAGAGCAGGGACAAGGGGAGTCGAAGCCCTTGCGGCAAAGACTGCGGGTTGTATTCGGGAAGAGATAGGTAATTCCGGCCGGAGAAAGACAAGGGTTGATCGCTGTAGGTTTGGCCCACGTACGACTGGAAAGGGAATACTCATAGATTCCAAATTTCGGATACCGATCAATTTTTAGCCCAACCTAATTACGTGGCAGATTACGATTGGTCTAATGTTTATTTTATAAACTGTCCTTAATTAGTTATCCAAAATAAAACAATGGAAAAAAGGTTTTGTTTTTACCAAAAAAAAAAAAAAAAAAGGTTTTGAAGACAAGTAGACAACTAAAGATCACGGGACGGAAATGGTAACACTCAAAAGCAGGCTGATTTCCAGTAATAGAAGAACCCCCTGCTGACGTTTGATGTAGCTTTCTGCTGCCATAGTCTTCGGGTTTGGGCCTTTTATCTTTCTTTATCTTTTCTTTTCCTTTTTCCTCTGGCCTGTGCTTCTTTCCCCTGTCTTTTTCGTTGGCTTCCCTTTCGCCTATTTTCCTCTTGTTCCCAGTTTGGCTTTGCCCTGGTGCCTTTTGTAACTCTTTCAGATATTATTAATATATATCATTCTTAAAAAAAAAAAAAAAATTTGTGGATTTAGGTTCAGTTGGAGTAAACTTATTGGTCATGTTTAACAATCTGGTGGAAGAAGTTCGATAATGACATATGAGTAAAATTTAAACTCTTAGGTCGGAAATTTATAAGTACATAACTACGAGAACTAAGCTAGTAATATTACCTTAAAAGTTACAACTAATTATTATGGCGGCAAGCTGGATTATGCAATTTGGCTAACAAGTGAGTAGTGTTAGCTTATTGGGCGAACCCGCCGTTGGGCAGCAATTCATTAACTAATGATCTTAATCGATTTCGGAGTTAAGCCATGTACAAACTAGGAATAACAATGATTAAATTTATACAATATAGAGGAACTTAGGGTTAATAGGAGTAAGAACTCTTGCAATTGAAAAACAATATAAGGAAGTAATGGATAACGTGAAAAGGGAGAGGGCGGCGCTACTTATAGATTGAGAGAACAAAGAGAAATTGTCGGGCTAAGACATTGTTGATGATGAAGAAGTGGCTACACCAACCTGGAAATCGATGGTCTTCAACATCTCTATGGCCTCGAGATGAATCAATGGCGTGGCGGACTATGATCTACCAATTGGAGCCTGGAGAACATCAATTATAGGCGACGAGATGTTAGTGATGTCGTACGGGATAGCCAAATTCAGAGCTAGACTAAGGTAAGGAGTTTTCCTCCATTACAGTATTGATGAAGATAATGTTATCCGATGGGGTAATCGAACAAGAACCGAAACTTGGAGTCGATACTGGAGCAGACATTCCACAAGATCTCCACAAACCAGTGACCTCTTGCATGCGATCACGTGATTACCCGGCTGGCGCGACACTTCGGGGTCGATCTCAATCCTATTGATTCGGGCCTAAATGTACACTTTTTATCCTTGTTTCTCTTTTGCGTTTGTGGCATTTGAGCTCCAAAAAGGGTGATTTTGCGTTAGGTTGACGTGTTTCAATGTGTTTCAGAGTCTTACAGGTGGAACCAATCCCAGAGTCTAAAGTTGGAAGAAAAGGCGCGAGGATCGGGCAAAGAGGAGGAAGCAGCCGATGTTCACGGTCAAAGCTGTGAGTTCACGGTCATCAGGACCGTGAAATGGAGCCACAAACCGCAAACTGAAGAGGGTCCAGAGAGTTTTTGGAGGTTACTGACGCCGAGGCAGTTCACAGTCGTAAGACCGTGAACTGAAGGCATGGACCGCGAACTCGATAATTGAAGTGCTGTCTTTTGGTTGTGTTCACGGCCCAGGCCAGATGTTCACGGCCGTGAACTGGGCACGACCAGTCTATAAAAGGAGAGCTGAAAGGAGGAAGAAGGGGGAGCCAAAGTGAGAGATACCTTCTTCTTCTTCTTGAAAACTGATAGCATCGTATTTGCACGTGTTTTCACTCTGGTTTCCTGCCCATTTTGGCTCGAATTGATTGTTCCTTGGCCTATTTTACGCTAGGTTGTGTTGTTTTGTCGTATTTCAGGTCCTAGCAAGTAAAGAGGTGCATAGGCGCAAGTTTCGGGTCATTTGGAGGTCAGATGGCGAATCACAGACAGAATTACAGGCAGCCCCTGCCAAATTACGGCCGTAATTGGCCAGGGCATGCCCGTAAATTAATGGTCGAGCCTTCTCCCCAGAAATTCATCTCGGTGATAAAATTACGGGCAAGACCCCAAGAATTACGGCCGTAATTCCCAAATTACTGGCGGTAATTGGGAAATTACGGGCGTATCTCCTCCTCCTACAGCTTAAGTGAAACGTGCGTTTTGGTGCGAATTACGGGCAGGACGTGATTACGGCCGTAATTCTGCCCGTAATTCGCCCAGAGTCGGGTTTTTGGAGGCAGATTCGAGCCAAGGAAGGGGAATTCGATTTTCTGGGCAAAAAATAGAGTTTTAGAGAGAGAAAGAGCGAAGAACAAACCCTAGGAGCTATTTTGGAGTGGATTTCTCATCATTGAAGCCCAGATTGCGTCCCTAGGAGTGAAGATTGACATCCCAGAGCAGATTTTCCTCATCTTTATGAGTATGACTACTCTGATTTCTGTTTTCCTTTTTCCCTCTATGGAGTAGAACCTCTCTCTCACTTGGGTATGAAGAACCCTAGTTCCTTGTGTTAGGGATTTGATTGTAATGACTTGGGATGATATTACTGTTTGATTTTAATCGAATGATGCATGTTTATTGAATTGATTGGAGTCTGATCAGCTTTTCTCAATTTCTGCTGCAACCTGAGATAGATAGAATCTGATTAGGTTGTTAGAGCCTCTTCATTCGATAGTAGGAGATTGGCTATACGAGAGTTAGCCAGTTTACTGCTTTGTACTGGAATTCAATTCCAGTAGTGGAGTTCTGTGTTCATAGCCTCAGCTTTTTATCCCGGTGAAGACTAGTCGTCTGCCGGGTAGTTAGACTGAGAGGGCTTGGTCAGCTTAAGAGATTCCAAGCTACTGTCGGATCTTCCGCAGTCTAATCAACAGTAAATCAACCCAGGGAATTGCAATTGAACCTAACTAAGGGGCTAGGGGGACTCAATCCCGAGTGACTCTTACCTGCTTTTGAAAACCGAACAATTTACTGCTTTCTTACTGCTTTTGCTTTTAAACAACAATCACTCGAATTAGTTTGCTAGATAATAGACAATCACGGAGTAAGCAGTAGATCTAGACCCCGGGTTGATAATATAACTTTCCTGTTACTGCATTCCCGGACTGCGATTTCACTTGGTCGCAGTTTGGTGTTGTGTTTTGGCGTGTCAAGTTTTTGGCGCCGTTGCCGGGGAACCCTCTAGATTATTGGGGAAACGTGAGAATTTGTTACTCTAGCTTTTTATTTACTGCATTTTATCTCTTCCACCTGTGTGCCTTCACGGGTTGCTTCTGCTGATTGTGTGCAGGTAGTGCATGACCCGTAGCCAGTCGGGAGAACTACTACCATTAGACCAGGAGCTTGAACGAACCTGCAGGAACTCCAAGCGGGTTCTAAAGGCGCGACTGGCTGCGGAGAAGGCGCTCTCACAGCTGCAGATCAGAGAAGAAGAAGAAGGAGAGATGGGTGATCCGCAGAACCACGAGGTGATCAACCCAAATGAGCAGACCATGGGATCCTACTGGACCGCTAGGGCTGCGGACATGAGGTCACCCATTCAACACCCTCATGTCCCAGCCAACAACTTTGAGGTGAGCACCTCAGTGATCACTATGCTGCGCGGTTCAGTGGTGTTCCGTGGTAAGGAGGGAGAGTGCCCTCGATCACATCTCAGGCGATTCCACGAGCTCATCGATGGAATCAAGATTAATGGGGTACCAGCAGATGCCATCCAGCTGAGGTACTTCCCATTAACTTTGGAGGGGCAGGCCAAGGAGTGGCTATACACTCAACCTCCGGGCTCCATCACCACGTTCGCCAACCTGGCGGACAAGTTCCTCACCCGCTACCATCCTCCATCCAAGACAGCTGACCTGCAAAAGCAAATTACACATTTTGCTCAGGATGAGGATGAGACCATTAGGGATGCTTGGGAGAGATACACCAGTCTCTTTCTCAGGTGTCCCAATCATGGTTTCAATGATGCATTCAAGGTGGGCACCCTCTATCACGCTCTCTTTCCGGAGGACAAGCAGCTGATCGATTCGGTTTGTGGCGGGAACATGCTGACCAAAACCCCGCCACAGCTGAATCAACTCTTTGAAGAGATGGCGGAGAATGGTTATGATTGGGGCACTGCCAGGAGGTCGAGGAGAGCACCCAGCCGAGGTGTACATTCTGTGGGAGCCCATCCCTCTGATTTGGTGCAGGTAGTATCGAAGTTGGTCTCAGCTATCGATCGTTCAGGAATGATTCCAGGGACCGGGCAGCAGCAGGCGATGCTCTGCCAATGGTGCGAAAGCACCCACCACATGGTGGAAGACTGCCAGGCGATGAAGGAATCAACCACACCCCAGGAGCAGGTGAACTTCATTAATAACGTCAGGCGCAATGACCCCTACAGCAACACGTACAATGAGGGGTGGCGCCAGCATCCTAACTTCTCCTGGGCTGGGCCAAATCCCAGACCACCAGCTCCCCAGGGACCACCAAGCTTCTAGAGGCCACCATATCAGCCTAGACAGGGGCAATTCCAGCAGCAACAACAGTCTCTTTATCAGCCCATGCAGGGGCATGCTGCTCAATCACCGCCGCGGCCTTTCCAGCAGCCAGGTGCAGCCCCTACTGCCCCAGTGCAGAATGATCAGATGGCTGAACTGCGGGA